CCCCCCCCGACACGAAAACTTGCTCGAAATGCGCCGAGCCGGCTTTGAAATCTTTCGGGCGGCTCGAGCAGTTAATGCTAAGGTTTTTAAAGCTCAGAAATGCGTTCCCGGTAAAAATCCTGCAAATATTGCTAAATCGTCCTGAGCAAACTTAAAGCGAAGTCGCTACAGCACGAAATACAAGGAATCGGGTAGAGCTTAGCTTCGGGAGAGAGGGGGCTCGGGCGGGGAAGGAGATCGGCGGTGCCTGCGCAGAGAACGACCGGGCGTGAACGTAGGATCGGGTGGTTTCCTTACGGGTGGCTTATCTGCTCGTCTGGCTACGCTGCGGTGCGATTTTATGCTGTACTTAAAAATCCGGGGAAAACAAATGTTTGTTTAAAAAAATATCGACCGGTTGCTCTAAAGGGCATTAATTATTCAGGGTAGATCTATACTTCCTTCGTGTCAAAGTCAAAGGGATAGCGCGTTCGCTCTGGGAAGCGAAAGCAAATAGCGGCGAATTTTTACCACAAAATACAAGCGCTTGAGATTTACCGGGAAAAAAGGCAAGAAAACTGTAAGGAAAAAAAAATGAAGGTGACGACCGTAGGGTAGGAAGCGGCATGCTCTAATTCTGCCTAATTTCTGGCGAGCTGCTGTGTGACGCTCCATATATTCCCAGGATTTAGAGAGGAAGCTTAAAGTCATAGAAATACAGCAGATGTTGTCACATGCTGAACTACAGAATACGTAAGATTTTTTTTCTTAGCTGCGCTGTTTTTATAGAAACTAGAGGGAAGTTTAGAAAACGTCAATGAATACGCCAAGCCAAGGCTTCGGCTAGGTGTCGCGTTTAGACTATCTTTGCATCTCGTGTTTGCGTTTCTTTTAAAAATTTTACTTCTGAGGTTCAGAGAGAGTCTACTTGCCTAAATTTAAGAACCATTCACGAAAAGTCGGCGTAAAGTTCAAGTAATATTTTTATTACTATTTGCAACAAGTCAGTTGTGGGGCACATAATCTGACCTTGGCACCGAAATACATTTAACATCAGTAAAACTTTTTTAAAGGGAGATTTGTACATATAGTTAAATAATTTTTCACTTGGTGACAACATTCAGGCAAACAAGAGAGAATAAGAAAAGGACTATACATGGATTGGAAAATGTACCTTTCGGGTTTCGTTTTGAGGTTGCAAAAGTCCGATTGCTTCTCTTTTTGTGACTTTTTAAAAATTCACATTGGAGGGCAGGAGGAGAGGCTCTTCCCTTCTTCCGTGCAAGGCGGTGAGCGTTTATGCCGGGAAAACCGTCTGCAAGTTTTTAAACGCCGAGCTGCAGGTGGGTGGGGGGTGGCGGGGGCGCGTTTCTTTCGCCGCCTCCTTCCGTCGTCGTTTGCGTTAAATAAAAAGTTTTTAGGCGCTGTTGTTGTTTACGGAGGGCGAGTTTTGTGCGCGGGGGTGTTAACCCTATAGCTTGTCGAGGCTTTTGGGATTGGTGAGGATTTCTCTGGCTAGCCTCCAGGTCTGTTTGGCAGCGCTTTCCAGGGCCGAGTGGGGTTTGCCCTGAAAGAGGTCTAGGTTGGGCAGGAAGTAGTGGGGGCAGCGCCGGCACTGCAGGCAGGAGATGAGCTGCAGGAGGATGCCGTTGAGCCGGTCGCCCAGGCACGCCTCGTCCCAGTCGGTCTCCCGCGGGTGCTTCTCGCACTCGTACAGCAGCAGCGTCTTCATGTGGTAGTTGTTGAGGGGCTGCCCGGGCAGCTCCAGGTGCCGGTCGCGCAGCGTCTTCAGCACCGAGAGGCACTTGTTCCTGCAGCCGCCCATCAGCAGCCGGTTCTCGGCCTCGCCGAACTGCAGCACCCAGGCGTCGCTCTCGGCCGAGCTCTGCTTGCCCGTCAGCGAGTAGCACTCCTTGGAGAGCAGGTTGAAGCCCTCCGCCTTCACCTCCGCCACCCGGTTGGGGCCGGGCCAGGGGATGTGGGGCATGGGCCACTGCGCCGCGCTGCGGGGCCAGATCCCGGTGCACTTGAAGGCGGGCGTGATCTGCACCACGTACCGCTCCCGGATGCGGAGCTTCACCTCGCTGGTGTCCGCGATCATCTTCACCACGTCCCGGTAGCTGCACTTGTCCACGGCCTGGGCCACCAGCGTCTGGAAGCGGGAGCGGATCTTGCGGGCGGACAGGTAGCCCGAGGCGGTGATGAACTCCACCCAGAGGGACATGCTGCGCTTGCGGCCGTCGCTCAGCTTGAGCACGGCGCAGCCCGGCAGGGAGCCGTCGTCCACGAAGTTGAAGACGCCCATCTGGTTGAGGTAGAGCACCACCTCAAACTCGGTGGGCGAGATCACCTCCAGCCCCTCGTAGCGGGCGTCGATCTCGCTCAGGGAGCTGATGAAGCGCGGCTCCTGCACCTCCACCTCCTTCAGCACGTCCGACACGACCTTGCACACCTCCCGGATGGTCTTGGCGATGGCCGCCTTGCGGGCCTGGCAGCGCTCCGTGTAGTATTTGTTGAGCTGGTAGACCAGCTTGGCCTGCGCGGCGATCATGTTGGGGCACAGGTCCGGGCTGTACACCGGGCTCTCGCAGTACGTTGAGGGATCCAATGCTGCAGCGGTGGCTGCAGCTTTGCGGAGGGCACCGGCCAAATCGCAGACCCCCACCCCCTCCGGGAAGAAGGCGACAGCGGCGCGCCAGTGAGAGCAATTAAAAAAAGCGGGGAGGACGACGAAGCACAAAGGAGCGAAGCCCGGCGCTGCCCCGGCGAGGAGGAGGAGGGA